CCCCCCCCCCCTTTCTCCTCGTCGAAAACCTTTTACACTCCAAAAACCTCAATCATGACGTGTCTTTGTTAGACGATAGCCACCTTCTGATCCGAGCGAATTTTTTTTTATTTTTATTTTTTTTTGAACGCTAACTAGTCCATCCAAAGCTCACGGACATTTATTTTTATTGTTATTTTTCATTTTACCGCAGCTCTATTCCGCACCTCGCAACCGTACTACATCTCTGATTAAAATAAAATTAAATTAAATTAAAAAAAAAAGAAAAAAAAAAGAGCACTAACCAACCTCGCCTACTATCAAACACTCAATCAATCGATCAATTAATCAATTAATTAGCTAATCACTCAACCAATTAATTAATCGTACACATGTCAATCGAATCAAATCAATCAATAATCGTGGACGTTCCACGTGGCATCTTGATCGCCTGATCGTTACCACTACGGATTTCGTGTCCTGCCCTCCTTTTTCTTTTTTTTTTTTTTTTTTTTTTTTTACTCCTTCCCTCGATTTATGCGCGGGGTTCTTGCACAGGGGAAAATGCTAATGTTCTCCGTATCGTTCCAATTTTAACAGATGTCACGAAGGGCACACTGGTAATCCTTTCTTTCCCAAACCAAAAAGACCCAAGAGCCTAGCTCAGGCCTTACTCACACTAGGACTTTTTCCCCTTCTCTGTGGACGTATTACCCGTCAGGTGCATCCTGTACAGGTCGGAAAAGCGATCATATGCATCCGCGAAAGTGCTACCTACGGGTAGTGTGAGTATGCCCTCAGTGGGTACACCCATGAATTGTTGAAATACAAACCGGGGGTAGAGTCCAGATGATGGAACGTGATGACTAAGGGCCAGATCCCGCTGGCAAAGACGATTGGAATAAGTGGCTGAATCTGGACGTGTTCCACGCAGAGATGCAGAAAAGCAGTTCGATCGCAATTGTTTGCACCTCTCCACAAACACATCCAGATTCAGAGGCTTATTCCAACCCTCTTTGCCAGTGGGATGGGATCTGGCCCTAAGACGTTTCCTAAAAGGGAGAATCTCCTCTTTTACAGAAAAGGGAGGCTAGCTTACGGGCTGACTCAAAAAAAAAAAAAAAAAAAAAAAAAAAAGGGAGGCTCTCCATCATTAAGAATCCCAACAGTAGTCCATTGTGCACTGCTTAGGGCGAGATCCCACTGGCAAAGAGGATTGTAGTAAGTGTCTGAATGTGGAGGCTTTTGCGGACAGGTGCGAAAATTTGTGATTGACCTACTTTTCTGCACCTCTGCGTGGAAACACGTCCAGATTCAGACACTTCTTCCAATCCTCTTTCCGAGTGGGATCTGGCCTTACACGTGCATCAAGCTTTCTACAGTTGTGTCTCTTTTTCTTGGTGGCGAGAGAGGGGAGAGAGGGGAGGGAGGAGGGGAAGGGGGTAGGACCGTAGGAGGGAGGGAACCCATTGGGTGTACCTTTCAGCCTCACCCGGCCCATGGGGCGAGGCTGAATGGTATACCCATATAACTGTTAATAAACGGGCCCTGAGTTTTTTTTTTTTTTTTTTTTTGGGCCCTGGGTTTTTTTTTTTTTTTTTTTTTTTAAAGGGCGATGGCCTTGAGGTATTATCATCGGGTGGCCTTGATTGCCTTCAGGGAACCTCCAATGGGGGACACCGGCCAGGGGACAGCCGGTAGCAGAGGGACCGAGCATCATCTGAGTGGCCAGTCGCTGTGCCTCCCCGATTACCCCTTCCCCAATTGGGGGGACCAACGGGCTATCTCTAGGTGGCGGGCGCCAAGCATGCCCAGGAATCCTCAGGGAATTATTTGGAATGCTCCACAGAAACTAAATCTGCCTTCAGTTTGCCGGTTGGGCACTCAAGCTCCAACTTCGCAGGATGTACTGACTCGTATTGCAGCCAAATTCACCCTCAGAGGTGGTTGTGTGAGTATGGCCTTGGGTAATCCTTTGTACTAATCATTCTCTGATGAAAAGAGGGAAAAAAAAGGAGGTCTCAGGGCATCCTCACAATAGCACTTTCCAAAATTCATCAGAGGGCAATTTCGGCCAACACCTGTATGCATCTCGCTCCAATTCCGTCCAGAATAAGTAAAAAAGTCCTAGTTTGCGTCTACTTTCAATTCTAATTTGCAAAACAAAAAAAGACAAAAAAAACAAAGAAATTCTAATTTGCTTGATTGATCGATGCTGAGGCTTTCTCTTCGGTATGTGAGTCAGTGTTCTATTACCTGTCAAATCTCCCAGTGGACAGGACGGCCTTTCAGGCTTTTTTTTTATTGTCATTATCATTATTATTATTATTATTATTATTTTTTTTTTTTATTTTTTTTTTTTTTTAACAAAGAAACACTTGCTCCGTTCTATACACAGCTTCCAATCCGAAAATGACAAAAAGTAGCTTTAGCCAAAAGTAATCCGAGTAATCGCTACAATCCCTTCAGCTGATCTATTTACATTTGGAGCAAAGGTCTTGACTAAGATATCGGAGGGCAGCAAGCAGACCCTCTCAGTCTAGGCTGTCTGATAGCAAAGTATTCAACAAGGTCTAATTTGGGGATGGTCCCAGATTAATTCTGAGTAAAAAAGGTTATCCGCCGACCATTTCTTTTGAAATGGTAATTTAGCTGTTTCGTTTCCACTGAGGATGAGCTTTTCCTAAGTTTACTCCATTCTGCCGTGATATCCAAGCCCAGGGCCTGCTTAAATTGTGCAATTAATGTTGGGAAGGGGGCGTGGGATGCTGAGAATCTTCTATCTCGTCTGGCCAGCCACAGAGACCAGAAGGCTCTCAGTCTGAAGGCAGACTGAGCTACCTGGCCCTGTTGCTGCTTGCAGAGGGAGGGGTTCATTCGACCAGTAATCACTAAGTCTTGAGACCAAACGTTCTGTTGGCCATATGCCTTGACCCATAATTTATTTAGAAATTCCCAGAATCCTCTGGCAATCACGCACTCCCACCGTAAGTGAAGCCAATCGTCTAGGCAGGGGTGCGGGCAGGCATTACAACAGACATTGATTTCCATACCCTTCTCAGAGCACCATAAGGCAGTCGGCACGCAAGAATGTAGGTGCAGCCATTGAAGGCCTCCTACTACTTTGGTTTCCATAGCGGATAGAATCATACGAATAAAAAACAGGAGCCACTTTGGTGGAGGAGATGGTAATTTTAGAGAAGACATTCTGTGCTGCCACCTAAGAGATAAGCCAGCCTGTAGTTGCTGGGCAACTGATTGAAACCCATAACCGTTGAGAATAGTGGGCAACTGATTGAAACCCATAACCTGTTTGAGAAGAGTGATCTGGGATGGGCACTTTGGAGGGAGGCTCGCCAGGGAGAGTTCCAATCCATCCATATCTGCATACGTCCACTTTCCAGTCTTGGATTGGGAGGTCCTGTAGCACAATCTGAAAGGGTGAGGTGCTATGACCTGATTTCTTTTGTTGTACGCGTACCTCCTCCATACCTGCCGGTGAGAAGGGGTGGGTGTCTTTGGACTGATGAAGTCTCCAACGAGGGAACATGCGGGAGCTGCACCCACCAGCAGGTGCGATACCCACCTGCTGTACCGGCCAGGGGTCAGCCGGGGCTAGGTCCCACTTACACGAATTAAGAGATATTGACCGTAGATAGCACAGATCAATGGTCAGAATCTTGTAATACGTGCAAGTGGGACCTTGTCCCCGGTAGCATCATCTGTCAGGCACCAGTACCATCTGAAATACCAACCCACGATAGCCACTCAGAAGAAACTGGGGCCAAGTCCCACTAGCAGCGTTGAGCTGCCTCAACGCCTGAATCTGGACGTGTTTGTGGAGACGTGCAGTTTAGGAAACTCAACACCATTTCTGCACATCTCGGCAAAAGCGTCGAGATTCAGGCGTTGAGGTAGCTCGATGCTGCGAGTGGGACTTGGGCCCCTGGGCTGTTGAAACTGTTTCCAATTGAGGTCGCTATGGTAGGCATAGGGCCTCGCCACACCGCTCTGGAAATGTGAAAACGACAAAATCATGGCGGGTGCATCTGGCAATGTTCTAGCAGGAAGTTCATTCTCATTTTGCACATTTCGAGAGTGGTGTGATGTGGTGATGCCCATAATGCATGTGAGTATGCCCTCATTCCCCTTTTGTTTTTTTGGTGCAGGCTGCCGTGAGGTCCATTTTACTTTGAATTCTTGGACGTGTCCGCATTGGTTACACAATGGTAGTCCTAGAATAGCTAGTCCCATAACCACTGGAGAGCTGGATGATCAAATCGCCTTTCATATAAGTACCGCAGATGCGTGTTGTTTTTCAGATCCTTCTTGGTTTTATGAAATGATGATGAGTGGTGACTCACCTCCCTTTTGCATGTGAGAGGTGGCCCTCACCCAGACTTGTTACGACCGGTCGGCCGCCTAAGCCTATCTGACCCTTAAAACCAGGAGGCACCCTAAAACACCTTGCTGGCAATTGAATTCTAACCAATGGCCAACATTTTGAATGCACAGGACCAATGACAGGTCCAGATACGTTTGAATTATTGGCCCCCGTTTACTATGAGATGAAGGGCCCAATAGTGAAGTAATCCACCACAGATGTCATCACGATCAACAAAGGGCATAGCCACACCACTCTCAAAATGTGCAAAGTGAGAATGGACTTCCTGCTAGAACATGGCCAGATGCACCCGCAACATTTTTATCTTTTTCACATTTAGAGGGCGGTGTGACAAGGCCAAAAACAGACGCTTTGCGGCGGGTTACAAGACAGTGCAAACAACAAAAAAGCAAAAAAATAGACAAGATATGGATGCCGTTCTTTTTTTTTTTTAATACAAGAATACAAGAAAGCTCAGCTCATTATATTGAGAACACCAAGGGGAGGCCGGGGGCCAAGTCCCAGTAGCGCGAGTTTGAATTTGATTCCTATACGGGGGCTAGGTCCCACTTGCACGAATTAAGAGATAGATAGCAAAGATCAACGGTCGAAATCTCCTAATTTGCGCAAGTGGGACCTTGCCCCGGGTGCAGCACGGTGCGGCAGGGGGTGGCACCACATGTGACACGATCTGGATACTTCTTTAAGGAATTCTGATAACCATGTCCAAGGGTCCTGCAATGATGACAATCTGTCAGGAGTCAGTTCTTCTGATACGTTTCGGCAGTGCCCCTGCTCCACCTCACCAAATGTGGAAAATGAGCATGTATTTTCTGCCTGCAGATTGGAAGATACATGCTTTGGGGTGGGCATCCCACGGGACAACCAAGGGTTGCTGTTGGGACGACGCTGGCCGGAGCTGGGGCAAGTCGTGTTGCTCTGTAACCCAGCCGAGTGGGAGTGTGAGGCCTGGGAAAGCCCAGCAGGGAATAAGACAGTGTTGGGCAGTTTTAGAGAGTTTTGTTTGGGAGTCTACGGGTTCCGAACATTTGAAAAGAGGTCAGTAGTCATTCATAGTTTTTCAACCTCTTTTTAATTCTCTTGAATTTCTTCAATAGTTCTCAATAGTTCTCA